GGTTTTTTAAAATAGATCAGCTACTGATTAGAGAATCATTGTACTCATATTTATGAAAACTCCTACAATCTAAATAAAATTGTGAATACAAATATAAAGCATATAAACCACAAATTCCTTGAATATATTTTGATATTGCTAACTAGAGATAGAAATGTTTGTATCAATTGGAATTAAAGTGTGGAGGGAAGAAAACCTAACAATATACGTTGCTTTTCAGCTTTTACAGCTGTTTTCAAAAGGTAGATTTGTATAGAGACAAATTGATGTATAACATATTTTAGAAGTATTTTAAGCCTAGCAGCATGGAAGAAAAGCCATGTCAATGAGCTGAATTTTGGGAGTCTGTAATGGAAATGAAGTATGGGAATAAGTTTGTTTGCTACTAATCTGCTGCAAGCTACAAAGAGCTGATGGCAAGGAGGAATGTGGGGCTTCTTGCATGAGGGAAGGGCAGCCAGGCAGCAGCTTTGGAGAGCATCTCTTCCATCTAACTTTGGGTGTCACTGTGTCCCTAAGGTAGCTGAACAAATAGTATCCTTTACCTTCTGCAGAGCTGCCAGTGGCACTGTGGAGGGATAGTTCTAATTAAACTATTAGTTTGGGCTTTTGGATTAGATAAGTTAGATAATGTGGCTATTCCATCTAAATATATTACTTGATTATAGAAATATTTAAGTATAAAACTCATTACTAATTTTGTGTGTATTAAGCATATAAAATGAGACAGCAGGCTTGGCTGGGTTGAAATTTGACTTTGCCAGTGTTTGCTTTGAAGTGGAAAGGCATTTTGGCTCAGCTCTTGTCATAAAGATACAAAACTCTCCTGGCAACTTTTAAAAATGGTTGTACACCAGCTAACAGAGAGGTCTCAGAATACAAACACACAGAGGGAAGTGTGGTCAAGTTGAGGGCATTTTCAGTGCCCTCTCTCTGGACAGGTTGCATGATCTATGTCACAATCTGTGCTCCTGGGGACATTAAGAAGACAAGGAGAAGAAGTGGCTGCTCATGGTGGGCCTTCAATAACCTGCAAAGATGGAGCTTACAGCTTCCTCCCTCACCTTGCCAGCCTGGCAGCAAGGGACTGGTTCCTCAGCCTTTCTGCCCTCTCACAAGTGATGGCACAGTGGTATCCAGAGGTTTCATGAAACAATTACCCTCTTAGTCATTTCTTCCAAAGAGTCCTTTGAAAAGTGGGAATTTGTAATACTATAAAATGCTACTGCTCTTTGCAGCTGTCAGCTGTAGTTGATCAAGTTACCAGTTTTCCACTGCAAGTCTTTAGTCCTGCTGCCAACGGCGACCTTATATATGGCTATAAATCTTTCTGGAGTGTAATAAAGGTGTACTGCATTTCACTGTAATGGGGAATGTCTTGCACAAAGACAGGCAGCATTAGGAATTTTGTGTGTAATAGCCAGTGCTTCCCAATATCCATGTCAAAACAGAGGATGTAGGACTGTGGGCTGCAGAAGTCATTGTGACATATTGCAGTTTTCTATCCCTGAGTACTCTGATTTTATCATGGCAGTGCTGCTCTAGTTCAAGAGTTTGTAGTATTCATTTTATAAACCTTATTCTGAGGTTCTTGCAGCTTTTCTGGTCTGCATGTCAGAAGTCATTCTGGAGAAGAAAATTCCCTGAACTCATTGCTATTGCTTTATTTATTTATTTTTCTTTTCAAGGTTAGAAATAGTTCAATCAAAATGTAAGTCTGACCTGAAAAATTCCACCTCTTTTGCAAGTACTGGAGTAATAGCAATTTTATAAGGCATTTGGAGACTCAAAATTCAATAAGTAGCTAATTTGATTCACCAAAGAATCTATTTCCTATCTAAGTAAATTAGAAATAGAAGTTGGTTGTTTCTCTAACTCTAGGAACTGAAATAGGTTTAAAAAAAAAGCCTCTAATTTATTCGGAGACTTCTGAAAATTAACCATAATGCTTGATTTTTTTCATGTGAAAGTCAATTTTTGGTATTGAACTGAATAGATAATACAACAGTGTTGTGTCAGAGATTTTATTTCAGAACTGTTCTGCTATTTCTGAATTTGAATGAACTAAAACTAAATATAGTTAAAATACCAATGAGCTTTGTCTCACTCATTTATGAATTAAACATAGAGCTGTCACTATTTGTGAGCCTAAACAATCCAAAATAGTATTTATTGTTTTGTAGAATTCTGAAAATGTTTAATAAAAGTACTCACTGGCTCTGATTTTCATGGTTGGATGACAGCATCCCATTATTAAATCCCATTCCACCATTGTTGCATTCCAGCTATACTCATTTATAGTCTTTTGGTCAAATTAAGTACTGTGGTAAGCAAGTACAATTTCAGTGGAGAACTCCAGGTGCTATTCTTATGCAAAATTTCGCTTTTTACCCAGTATGTCTCACCTTGCATTGAGCCTGTGTGGCACAAAGAGGCTAAGTGGGGAGAACAGAGAAATTTTGAGAATAAAAGAGGAGCAGACTTGTAATAGCCTTCAGCTTGCTTTTTGTTGTTGCTCTTGTTAGCTGACTCTTATGAAAAGATGTTACATATTAAGAATTTGCTCCTATCACCAAGTTTTTTAGCTCAAAATGTATTCTGTGTGTACACATACATGTGAATACATAACTTGTCCTACAGCTCACAGAGGTAAAAATAGACCAAGTTGTATACTTTGTTGTTGATTTTTCTTCAAATTGCACAACCTTTTTGCAGTTTTGTTTATATCAGTGTGATGATTCCAAAATCTACCTGTATGACTGTAGAGCATACCAAAATAAGCCACATCATATAATATATAAAAAACTATGCCCATAAGAACAAAGATCCAACCTCCTTTCTAATCCACTTCCCACCATTCCTTTCCCCTAGAAACAGAGGTATAATGCTTTCCTTCTCTGTCCCTGAAGACAAAATTAGGACTCTTTCTGCTTTCCACTTTTTCTGTGTCTATGTAAATGTGGAGAAGGAAGAATAAAGGCAGAATAATATCAGGACTGAAATTCAGGGCATGATTCTGAGCGTTAACCCTGGAGCCACCTGGGTTAAGGGTTTCAGGTGTCCTATGTGACATACATGTGCTCCAGGCCGCAAAGCAGGTGGTGGAGGGAAAGGCTGCACAGCTCTGTGCAGGGGGAAAGGGGAGTGATTCAGGTCACAGCAATGAATGAGGCAGGCTGTCACCTCAATACCTCATACAAAAAAAGTCTGCAATTGTTCATATCTTCAGCCCTTATGGGGTTTCTAAACTGTAATGGAAAATTTGGTTTCTATGAAGACGGTCTTTAAAAATTATGTCCTGTGAATGCTTGCAGCAGCTATCCCCTGGCAAGTGTGTTTCAGAAAGAATTCTTATGAATTCTTTCAAATGGTTTCTTGGAATGTTTAAAGCCTAAATCCAGGACCTGCTTCTTCATAAGAGTTGCAGTTTTTTCTTCATTTCCAGAAGACATAAAATACCTACCATTTGTATCAGTTTTCAAAAATTTAAGTTCTGAAGAAAGTTGAGTCTCATTTGGGCCTATGAATCCATCTGTTGCATCCTGTACTTCCCAGTACCTTAAGAGTTTTCTTCAACTGAGAAAAGTATTCATAATATCATTTCAGTAGGCCTTTTTAGGGTAGTTTTTTAGTGCACATCATCAAAGGCATTGCAATTGTTTCTTTTCCAGTGTTTAATATTTGACTGCTGCACCCACCACCCAGCTCCAAAACCCTTTGCCTGTAGCATTTGTGTTTCAGACTAGATGAATAAAATTTTAAGGAATTTCACACTGTCCTATGTTTCAGGATTTTTAACTTGAATTTGTCACATAATCTTTTGTGCAACTTAAATCTAAATGCACTTCAATCTTCATTTTCTGCCTGTTCAAGCAAGGGAATATCCTGTTGTATAAAACATGCAAACTTTTAATGATATCCATTGGAAACCAGAGTTCACAGATTCTAAATGCTGGTCTTTATCTTGGAATTCAACAATCAAATGCCAGCTGCTTGGAGAGCATTTCTGAGCAGTAACATGTACGCTCTGGTTCAATTTTCTTTGCTGTGATTTATTCACTGAAGCTGATATCTCTCAGATGTATGTTACATTTTCTGTTTATATTAGTAGGAGTTTTATAAAGTTAATTCAGAAAAAGTCCATCAGGTGAAAAAGGTAAGAAAGGTGACTGAATTGAAGCTGTTCTTCAACCTCTGAAAAATATTAATCTTGCACACTGCAAAGCTGTAGTAGATGTACAGCCTAGCATGGGTACCACATCTGTGTTAGATGGTGGTCACAAAAGGTACTTTAGAGCCAGCAAGGTGCTGTCAAGACATCAAAGAATGTGTAGCACAGACATGCCTCCAGAGACCAGTTTACTTTTCATAGTCTGGCTCATTGGAAAACATCAGATTTCTTCTGCTTTGGGCTACCTTTGTGGAGTACAGAGATTACAGCCTTATGTGCATAAGGCCCATGGAAATGTGTGGCTGCTTCTTGCTCCCTTCTGTTTATATTGTTAATAACACAAGTAAGGAGTGAAGCTGTTTGCTAGGGTTTCCCTGTTGAATACCGTGACCCTTAATTTGGATGTCCACTATTTAGTAGATTATCTTAACTGAAACATATTCTGTTTGCTCCAAATATTTTGTAAACTGAAAACCCTCATAGTTTGCAAATAAAACTGGTCTCTCTGAAGGACAGTGTAATTTTAATTTTATGCAGGCTTGATTCTGATCCCACTGAGGGACCAGACTGGCCATTCTATTTGGAGCCAGGCAAATAGGCTTCTTAAGAACACAGCCACGTTCACTTCAACACTGTAAAGAGTCTCTTGTGGGCAGAATGATTCAGGTACCCTTGTTGAAGTTTATTGTACTGTTTGGCAAAACTTGTCCACTTCTATTCATATCTGATGTCAGAGTAGAACTTATGGTGAGGAATGCCAAAATATATCACACAGCAAAAAAAGACAAAAATCAGAAAATAAATAGATATTTTTCTTTTTATTTTTCAGAATATTGCAATACTTTCACACTACTGCTGAGGATTACACCATCATTTTCACATCTGGATGCACAGCTGCACTTAAACTGATAGCAGAATCATTCCCTTGGATACCTGAAGGCACAAAGCAGCCCAGCAGTCGATTTTGTTACCTAACTGACAGCCACACATCTGTGGTTGGTATGAGGGGCATAACTGCTTCAATGAATGTCTTGTCTGTTCCAATAAAACCAAAGGAAATTTTGGTAGCAAAAAGCAGGTTACCAGCTGAAGAACAAAACTGCACAACACCTCATCTATTCTCTTACCCAGCTCAGAGCAATTTCTCTGGTACCAAATATCCCCTTTCATGGATACAGGACATAAAATCTGGAAGACTCTGCCCCATCAAACTACCAGGGAAGTGGTTTGTTCTACTAGATGCAGCCTCGTTTGTGAGCACTTCTCCATTAGACCTGGGAGTTCACCAAGCTGACTTTATCCCCATCTCATTCTATAAAATTTTTGGATTCCCAACTGGTTTAGGTGCATTATTGGTAAACAACAGGATTGCTCCCCTCTTGAGGAAAACCTATTTCGGAGGTGGAACTGCAGCTGCCTACCTCGCAGGAGAGGATTTTTATTTCCCCAGGAAATCCATAGCAGAAAGGTAAGACTTTGTTTAACAAAACAAATTTTTTGCTTTTGATTTTTTTCTGATAATTTTTGCAGTATCAATTGCATTAGACAAATGTCTCAGGCTTGGCCTATGCACTGGGCTATGATGCATGTTCTTTTTATGCAGTGGGATAGGTATCTCACATCTGACTCAGTTTGTCTTATTATTCTTTTTTCCTAGCTAAAAAACATCATCTGAAATATCTACCTTCCTTTCCTGATCGAGTTTGCCAAAACTGCTAAAAATATTCTGTGACATTTTAGGCTTCATTCAGTGACATAAAGGTCAATCCATGCATTTTTTAATTTGTATTTAAGGTACCTCAGTAGAAACTTGATTGTTTTTGAAACTCCTCACCCAAAGCAGCCAGAGCAAGGTTGATCATACAGTGTAACTACCCTCAGTGAAATTGCAAAGTTAGTTCTATGTATTTCACTGGAAATGTGCAGTGCTTTACCTTCAAGACAAACTTTATCAGAATAACAAGTTTAGTAAAATACATTACCTACAATGAATACTTGCAGTGCTCTTATTCCTCGGCTGAGGTTCTGAAGTAGCTCTGAAGATCTACAGAAAATAGGGAACACCTAAAGGAGGTCAAACATACACACATAAGAAAATGCAGGGTGATAAGGTAAGCTTCACCTTAAGTTCCTGAACACACTGAAGTGCCACTCTTAGTGATGCTTGGTCTCTCTGCCCCTCTCCTTCATGTCAGCAACAACTTGCAGTTAAGGGTCTTCCTGTCTCACATCTGCACAAAGGAAATGCTAGAGATCAGCATATCATCACAGGATCATAGAACAGTTTGTGTTGGAAGGGACCTTAAAGATTGTCTAGTTCCATGCCCCCTGTTGTGGGCCAGGACACCTTCCACTAGACCAGATTACTCAGAGGCCCCTCCAGCCTGGCCTTGAACACTTGCAGGGATGAGGCATTGAGGAACTTCTCTGGGCAACCTTTTCCACTGCCTCACCACTCTCAGAGTAAAAAAATTCTTCCTCATATCTAATCTAAACCTTCCCCATTTCCGTTTGAATTTCCCATTGTCCTGTCAGTATACACCCTGGTAAAAAGTCTCTCTCCAGTTCTCTTGTAGGCCTCCTTCAGGTAAGGGAGACTGCTGTAAGGTTTTCCCTGAACCTTCTCTTTTCCATGCTGAACAGCCCCAGCTCTCTCAGCCTGTCTTTGTAAGAGAGGTATTCCAGTCCTCTGAGCATTTTCATGATCCTCTTCTGGACTCACTCAAACAGATCCATTTCCTTCCTATGTTGGGTGCCTCAGAGTTGGATCCAGCACTCCAGGGGGGGTCTCATGAGAACAGAGCAGAGGAGCAGTTATCCCCTCCTTAACCTGTTGCCACCCTGCTTTGGATGAATCCCAGGACATGGTTGGCTTTCTGGGCTGCCAGCACACTCATTGCTGGGTCATGTTGAGCTTCTCATCAGTCAACACATCCAAGTCCTTCTCCCCAGGGCTGATGTCAGTTCACTCTCCACCCAGACTGTATTTGTGTTTGGGATTGCCCTGACCCATGTGCAGGACCTTCTGGCATTGTTGAGATTTATGATATTCACACAGGTCCACCTCTCAAGCCTGCCAAGGGCCCTCTGGCATCCCTTCCCTCCACTGTGTCAGCTGCACCACACACCTTGGTGACATTGGCAAAATTGCTGAGGCTGCACTAAATTCCACTGCCTACGTCACTGACAAAGATAGGGAACAGTGCCAGTCCCCATATCAACCCCTGAGGAACAACTCCTGTCACTGATTTCCACTTGGACATTGAGCTATTGGTGGCAGCTCTTTGCATGTCATCGTCTAGCCAACCCATCCACTCATCCACTGAGTGGTCAAAGCCATGCCTGTTCAGTTTAGGAGCATGAGTGTCATGCACGACAGTGTCAAGTGCTTTCCACCAGTCCAGGTAGATGATGTCACTTGCTCGTCCCTTACACACCAATGCATTGTAATAGGCCACCAAATACGTTGGACATGGTTGGCCTTGGTGAAACCCTGTTGGCCTGCTGAAATCACTTTCTTATTTAACATGGGCCTTAGCATAATTTCCAGTGTGATTGCTCCATGTTCTGGCTGGGCACCAAGGTAAAACTAACCAATATGTAGCTCCCCAGGTATTCCTTTCCTCCCTTTTTAAAAATGGGGGTTCCAGTCAGTGGGAACTTCACCTGATCGCCATGACTTCTCAAATACAATGGAAAGTGGCTTAGCACTTCATCCACCAGTTCCTTCAGGACCCACAGATGCATCTCATTGGATGTCATGGACTTGTCACCTTCAGGTTCCTTGGATGGTCTCAAATCTGTTATTTTCCTACAGTTTTCCTCATTCTTCCATTTCTTGCCTTTTCATTCTATGACTTGGGCAGTGTGGCTGCAGCACTTGCTGGTCAAGACAGAGGCAAAAAAGTCATTGAATAAAAGCCTTCTCCATATCCTGGGTAACTGGGTGTCCTGATCCTTTCTGGAGAGAGCGCACATTTTCCCTAGTCTTCCTTTTACTACTAATGTACAGTTTTTCTTGTTTCCTTTGATGTCCCTGTCAAAATTTAATTCTCTCAGGGCTCTACCTTTCCTAGCCTGATGCCTAGCAGCTCAGACAACCCCTCTGTATTCCCCCCAGGTTACCTGTTTTTGCTTCCACCCCCTGCAGGCTTCCTTTCTGTGTTTTGGTTTGTTCAGAGGCTCCTTGTTATCCATGCAGGCCTCCTGGCATTTTTGCCTGACTTCCTCTTTATTAAGATGCATCATTCCTAAGTTTGGAATAGATGATCCTTGAATCTTAACCACCTCTCTTGCCTCACTCTTCCTGCTAGGGCTTAATCCAACAGTATTCTAACAAATATGACATATATATTGATAAATAGATACATATAAAAATATAGCCCTTGGGAAAGGCTAGAGGTGAAAAGAGGAAGTGGTAAAAAAAGCCCTTCATTCCTTTCAATTGTTTATGGATATGTATTCAGAAGCACAATGCCCTGCATCTCCCATGATGTGAATATCTGACCTTTCACTGTGTGCAAAATGATGCTTCATGTGTTTGCACCTCTTCTGAGGGTGTGCTCTGAATGCTGCTGAGATGTTCTGGTTCTGGACTGGTAAATGCAGAGGCTGGCTGCATTCACCTGGCTCTTGCTAGATGAGACCATGCATTATTTCTGAATTGGATGTTGGTACAGTGAATGTCCAGTTAAATTAATATAGAAATAAAAAGAACAGGGAAACATTGTCATTCAGACCTCTGCTTCTGATTTTTCAAACCAAAAAGGCTTTGAAGCACAACTCTCACTGAAATTCAGGATAACAGGGCATAGAAATCATGGGATCCCAGGGTGCTCCTGCATCATCTGTGAGCCAAGGATAAAACTCCCTGTAATTTCACCTGGGCAGGCTCTACTTTCCAAGCAGCTTTTCTAGAGGTAATTGATACATGACTCCTGAGATTGCATAGCAGATGAAAACATCTGAAATGTGTTTTAGATCTCAGTTCTGCTTTTATACTTTCTTTAATTAGGAAGGGAAAGGTGTGTGGGAACCTGGAGGGGTACTCTATTTCTGTATCTTTTTCAAGAGTTTTCAAAAGTTGACTAATTATAAATCTTTCATGTATCTGAGGCTCCCACTGTTTCAAGGGCTTTTTTACTGAGTTCAGAAGAAGGGCCTGCTTTAACCGTCTTTTCTAAGAGTTAGAAACAAAGGAAATTGACTTCTAAGGCTGGGTACACAATGTGTAATCTTTTGTATGAGGGATTAAAACTAAAATAATCAAAACTGACAGCTGGATACTAGCTCCCATTAAACACCAAAGTGTCATGCAGACAGTCTAAGTCATTGTTCATAGGTCAATATTTATACTTGGCATCATCTAGTCCTTTGGTTGTTATTTGAAAAGCCAATATTTAAAAGTTCATGTTTAGGGCATTACTGATGCAGTCCATAACTGTGAAGACTTAAAGTTCTGCCTGGGGAAGCTTGATGTTTTCAAACATAGGTCAGGAATGAGGACAACTTTCTTGAAGAGTAAAAACAACATGTTGCATTGACATTCTCAGTCAATGCGATTCAAGCTCTATCACCTTTTTCTTTTTATTTTTTTTCTCTTAGCTGCTATGGGTTTTGCTTTTTTGTGTTTTCCCAATAATGAAATACGGGCAGAGCAGTTAGGAACAGAACTGCTACACTTCAAATGAAATGCCAGGTCACCATAGCCAGAGTTAATATGATTACCTTATCTGTGGGCCACATTTCCATTTCTTTGCTAGTGGCTGAAACACTTGGGTCATTATTTGTCACATCAACAGCAGTTATAGTCAGGTTTTATCCCTGCCATATTGCAGTAAGGAACCTCTGTCCTCGTAGGCATCCAAACCCAACTGGCGAAAGCCCTGAGCGATCTGCTCCAGCTGGACATGCTTTATGCCGGAGGTTGGATTTGAGATTCCCAAGGGTCCTTTCCAGCCTGTGTGCTTCTGTGATTGATTTTGTGCACTTGTCCCAAGCTCCATCTGCATTGTCTCTTCAGACGTGTCTTTGTAATTTCAAAAGTTTTTATTTTTACTTTTCTTCTTTTTTAAAAATGCTTTTTTACAGTGTGTGATTAGTATTCAGCTTGAATACAATAAAACATGTCATTTCATGTGGTAATTCATAAGGAAACCTGAACTCTAGCAAATGTCGTTGGAAAAGAGGATTTGAATATATGTGTCTGAGTGCCACTAGCAGAAGGTATTCCCCATTCCCCATCACACATAATCCAAGAGCACTGTACTAAGAAAATAGCTTTTTCGAAGTCAAGGTGAAACTTAAGTGGAAACATGTTAAGAGGATACATTTTATCCATCTTTCCTTCCCAGGACTGTCAAAATGGTTGCCATTTTTCTTAATAGATACAGCTTTTGCTACTGTTCCTTGTACTTTATTTTGTTGTTCCTGCTATGTAAATTAATGTACCGCAGTCTCTTTTACATT